ATGCCTTTTATTTTTTCTGAGATTAAAGCAATATTTCACTTATTTCAAGAATCAAAAAGTTTGGGATCAAACCTAAAAGGCCCAGTCTATTTGGTGCCACGCAATCACGATTATTTCATGAAAGTGCAGATTCAGCGGCCCTAAAGCAGAACAATTCAGCAAACAGACAGAAGGAAAGGCTACAACTGAGCCCACAGCAATAACTGCTCCATAAAGAAACCTCAGTGCAGAAAATGCTTTCGTCAAGAGGCGTGCAAACCCTAAAAAGTCAGAGCTCTATGAAGAGCAGGAATGCATTAATCAAGCGGCTCTGCACAGATCTTGTCCTTCATTTCCACAATAAAATTTTGAAATGAAACACAAGAGGCAGGTGAGCACAGCAGGCTTTGCAAACTGAACAAAATCTGCTTGTCAGACTAGGGACACATCAAGCTTGCTCACAGCAGATTTCCTTACCAGCCACAGCGGGGATCCGCTGAAACGTGGGACACATCCCTTAAAGAGCGAGAAGGGAAATTCCCAGAAGAACACGGATGATGCAATTCTCCAGTTCATGACTGCAGCTGTTTCAGGAGCGCACATGTAAATTCTCCTTTTCTGCAGCGGACGATCGGACTTCGGAACAATAGAAGACAGAAGCCTATGTCCCTCAACTCCCAGAATTTTCCTTGTGGACTAGCATGTCAGGATGGGGGGCATCCTGAAATCCCCCAGGCATGCCTGCCTGAACAGGTACCACAGTAACGACCCACAGCAGGAACACCAGCATGTGTAAATCAGAGTGACAGACCGTAGCATTTTCCTGGAAAAAAATAAGGCAGCACACAGGAAAAAATCTGCTTCTTGCTACTCGCTCTTAATTCTCAGTTTTGTAATTAATTATTAAAAAAAGCTTTTCCGGGCCGGTTTGATCCCCTTAAGTCTTGATATTATTCTGCACCAGTGCAGCGCTCCGCCTGCACTCATCTGTCAACCCACACATGCTCCATCGCACGGCTCTTCAATTTTTAAAGATGGAGCAGAAGGCAATTTGGGCTTGTAGTGCTTCTCCACCATTCGCTGCTCCATCCTGACAGATCCACACACTACTCGCTGGAAACTACCACCTGTTAGACCTGCAGGGATGAAATGTGTCCGGTTCGAACACTACGTGGCTTTCGGGAATAGGCTTTTCTTTTCTCAGGTGGAGAAACATACTCACTCTTGAGCACACATCCCTTTTTAAAACACAGCCTACCGCTAGCCTCCACAGTGCCGTAAGGACCCCACTGCTCTGAGAGGAGGAACCCTAAAGATGCTGGGACCCTGAAGTCTTGCTTTAATAAGCCAGGTCTCTTTAGTACAGAACTACATGCCTACAGGGAAATGTGACAGAGACATCAGAAACACAGGACTGCTTCAGTCAAATGCCTTGACCAGGTAAAAAACATTGATTCAGCAGCCAAATCACACGGGCCAAAATTCACAACTGAAGGCACCTTTCCTTGGA